TCCTAATAACGAACTTATCGACATGGCATCTAAAAACATGATAGTTGAATACATCATTGAGAACGTTAATACACTCTTTCCAAGTAATCATAATGATCGAAGAAAAGAAGGATTTATATGATTAACTGTTATTATTTAATATGTAATGCATAAAAGGCACTTTTTTTTTTTTTTTTTTTTATATATATCTAATAATTTAGAGATAAAATTTTATTTATATTGTGTAATAATGTTTTTTTTTTTTTATTTAAATATTTTGGAAAATAGTACAAGTCATTATAAAATTTTTATTCATGTACACTATTGCCAATAGAGTTAGCTGTATAATAAGTTTTGGGTTTAAAAAAAGGTATTACATATGTTTATTTTATTATTGTACATGTTTATACAACACATCGCATTTAAAAACTGATTTATCATATGTAAAATTATATTATTTTGTATCGTAATAATTATAATAAATATATATATATATCATCATTGATTTTTATTTATTCATGACACCCTGCAATGTATAAGTGGTAAGCTGCACATATTGTTAATTCAAAAGGGTGATAATCTTTGCGATTTTTAATTACTTAATTACTTTATATAATAATTAAGTGTTTATTCACTCAATAACTTTTATATCCCTTGAAACAGTAATGAAGCACTTTTGTAACAACTCAATCGTTTTATAATTATAAAATAGGAACGATTAGGATTTGAAAATATATATTGCACAAGAAATCATAACCAAATTTGTATAAAAAATAAAAATGATATACAACAAAAAAAAAAAATAGATTATTTGTTCAATAGTTACTTTAAAGTAATTGTTCGTTGACCCTTTGATCATCAATTACTATTTATAAATAAAGAGTTTTATGGTATCAATATATGCATCCTATGTTTAGACTTGAGAAAGGGTAAAAAAAAATTTACATTCCCTAAATTCCCTAAATTCCCTACCAGTGAGAAGCGTTACCAACCTAAAAAAATTTCGTTATTAGGTTATCGATAAATCATGATCAGGTGTAACGCGAAATTTTTTATATAATCCCCTGCCTTAATATTTGTTATTCATGACCACCTTTACTTCATTCTAATTTCCCGATCATGTGAAAATTAGAATGTTTAGGTAATGTAAGGTAGGGGGATTATCCATTTATTTCCTTTGAAGAGTTTAAAATTACAGCAGAGAGGATTCCACGATGATTATATACCATCTGTATTCTATGATCATTAGGAATCTTTGCTGAAGCTCCCAGGAAATAAATAATACTAATATCTAATCTATTGGTAAATTTTTCCAATAGAAAATTTAATAATAAAATAGTATCGGTATATAAAAATTGATTTTTACTAAGTTAATTTTATTTGAACTTTTAATAAAAGTTGTAAAGGAGATTATTATGGTTCTAATGATAGTAAAAATCGCCAAAAATTTATCTAATTATATCATGAGATATTAACGTTAATTATTTAATTTTACGATCGTGAAATGTAAATCATTAATATCTCATGATCTAGTAACAGCAGAGACCGTTAATGTTACACATATATTAAAACCGGTGAGGGATTATATCCATCACAATTGAATCCAACATAAATAATTTAACTTGCAATTGATCACAGGCGAGAGGGATTCACTTTGGATCGGGCACTGTCTCTGCTGTTTGATCTAGTAGACCAATTTTAGCGCTTTTACTATTATTAGAACCATAATAATCTTCTCTACAACTTTAATTTAAAGTCCAAATAAGATTAACTTGGTAAAAAAAAATTGGTTTTCATACATAAGCTATTTTATTACTACGTATTAAATAATGCTTATCTATTATACTCCTTAACGTTAATGTTTTAAATTTTTAAATTTTATATAAAAATAGAATTTTCAATAGAACCAATAGAAAATTTATTATATTGATTATTCTCACGCCAAACACTGATGTAAAAGAAAATTCGTGTAACAGCACTTTTTTCAAATAGAAATAAATAACCAATAAAATCGAATTTCCAATGCTGTCTATCCTACGTCCAATATTTATTAAAAATCCTTCATTATTTGGTGCATTAAACCCTCGTCGAACAATGGTTCAAAAATTAACTGAAGAAGAAATCAAGACATTAGAAACCAAATCATGGGCATTAGTTCCAGGACGTGATGCTGTAAAAAAAACTTTCAAATTTAAAGATTTTAATGAAGCCTTTGGGTTTATGACCAGAGTGGCATTAAGAGCCGATAAAGTTGGTCTTATTTATTCATTTTTTTAAGAATATTTCAAACTAAAATTAATTTTAATTCTAATATTTTCTTTTTTAAGGTTGATCATCATCCAGAATGGTTCAATGTAAGGATGAATTTTGATCTGTTTGATATTCAAAATTTTATATTAACATGCTTCATATTAGGTTTACAACCGTGTTGAAATTACTCTCACCACACATGAATGCAATGGTCTATCTAAACGTGATCTTGACCTTGCAGATTTTATTGATAAAATCGTTTAAAAACTTATATATATATATATTTATATTTATATATATTTCTGTATACAGTGTATATTTTTAATAATAAAAAACTTTTTATTGCTGTTTATATTTTTTTGATTGATAATTTTATGTTTCCTCACAGTGTTAAAGTTTTTTTGTCGGGTAAATTACACTTTATGCGTATTAATTGTGCAATATATATGCTTTTCAGTACATGAGAATATAAGCATATCACAACCTAATATTCCTCTAAAAAAAAGTTACGTCTCTGGATTTAAGTTTAAATGCAAAACTCTACGTATTTATTACGGTAATAATATATAATCAAAATTAATTTTATTTTATTATTTTTTTTTATTGTTCTAATTGTTATTACTGTATAATAATTATACAATGTCGATCACTTAGGAAATATGAAAACTTTTTCTAAAAATAAGTGCTTTAAACAAGCAAATAAAAATTCAAAACTTATGAAAGTTTTTTTCTTTTGCGAGCACAAATGATGTAATAAATAATTTGAATAAAGAATAATCTTATTAAAATAGCGTATATTGTTTTGCACATATTCGAAAAAATTAATACTATATTAGAGATGCTGTTATGGTTTATACTGTATCTAATTATCAAAGTTCATATTCATCTCACTTAGGCATGCTTGTATTTTATTCAAAAACATCATTTGGAAGGTCTCATAGCAAAAAGTGGTTTTGGATGTTTTAAAATTTGATCTTTAAATAAATATATCTCATAATCTAGAAATTGAAAACAAATAATTTTTATATTATTTAATTTCTCTTATTAAGAAGAATCAAATAATATAAAAATTATTTGTTTCCAATTTCTAGATAATGAGATATGTTTATTTAAAAATCAAATTTTAAAACATTTAAAATCATTTTTTGCTATTCTTTAAACTATATTCCAAGTAAATTTGCCTAGAAAATTAAAGAGTAAATATTATTTTTTTTTTTTTTTTTTTTTTTTTTTTAAGGTGGCTTACATTGCCGAGCGGATTTTATTAGTTGATATATGACGTC